GGGTGTCTTAGAAGAGCTCTGTCTACCTCTCACCCTCTAAAATACTGCCTCCCAAAGGTGTCTGTGAAACTCTCTTTCTGGGAATTGGTCTCTTCCTCAGTCAGGTCAATGTTGTGGTTTTAACCACTGCTTCCCTGTGCTGAGAACCAAGGTACAGAGCTGGCTAGGGACTTGGTAGTTCAGATGCTCCCCTTCTCACCTAAGCAGGGTTCATGAGGCAACCAGTGTCAGTGGGGGAGGACTTAGGGCCTCTCTCCTGTGGGGTTCTCAAAGTGCCCAGTGTTGGTGGTGATAGAGATAGGGTGAGCCACTCTCTCCTGTCCTTCAGGGCACAGAAGGTCCCTGGTGTCATTGTCAACGGGTATGGGGCAGAGCCTCAAGGAATGCACTTAGTACAAAAAGAAATTCACAGGTTTAAAATCAAAGGATGGAAAAATAGTATTCCATGAAATAAGGACCCGTAAAAAAGGCAAAAGTAGCCTGTTTTCAGGTGAAGTGAATTTCAAGTTATAACTAATGAGCAGAGACAAAGAAGGTCACTATTATCAGTTAAGGAGGAGAAAACAATTATAAACATATATGCACAAACACTGGTGTACCCAGCTTCGTAAAACAAACACTATGCACATGAAAAATCAGATAACACCAACACGATTATAATGAGGGCTCTCAATACCTACTTTTTCAAATAGATCAACTAGATAAAAAAAAAATCCAAAAAGAAATACCAAAGTTAAACTAAATATTTGAACAAATGACTCAATAGATATTTGCTGAGTGTTCCACCCAACAAAATATACATTCTTCCCAGCACCACACAGAACTTTTTCCAAAATAGACAACATAGTAAAACATAAAGAACACTTAAGTACATGAAAATGAATCAGTTATCTCATTATATATCAGATCCTAGTGCAAGGAAGCTAGAAATCAATTGTACAAGAAATCATAAAAACTATGCGAATGCATAGAAATTAAATAATACTGTCTTGAATAATTAGTGGGTCACAGATGAAATTAAAAAGGAAATTAGATAGTTATGCCAGTGTGACATATTGGAACCTTTGGGACACAATGAAACCAGTCCTAGGAGCAGAGTTTATAGTTGCGGATATCTACATCAGAAAAACAGAGCAAGGTCAAATATATAATCTAACAATGTACATTAAGGTCCTAGAATAAGAAAAACAATTAAAATGCAAAGATAAGGGAAGAAATTACGAAAATGAGCAAAAATTAGTGAAATTGAGACTAAAAATACAGCTAATCAATGAATCAAATAGTTGGTCTTTTGAAAGAATAAAGAAAACAGACAAACGAAAGCCAAGCTTACCAAAAAAGAAAGAAAACACCAAATCTATGTAAAATTAGAAATAGGGATTTTGCTAAAATCCAGATCATTTTTAACTACGTTGAGAACCTGTACTATGATAAAATGGAAAAATCAGAGTCTATGAATAGTTTCTCAGACGCATATGACTTCCAAAGATAAATCCAAAAGATAAAAATATTCTGAATAATTCAATGTCTATGAAATTGAAGGATAAAAAAACATACCAACTAAGACTTAAAAGCCCAGGTCCTAGCAGAGTCACTGCCAAGTCCTACAAAAACTTTAGACGATATCTAACACCAATAATCCTCAAATTCCTTAACAAAATTGAAAGAAATCATTTGAGGAAACAAACATTACCTTGATTGCAAAATCAAAAGAAGACTCAACCAGAAAAGAGAACTACAAGCAAAGATGAATATAGTTACAAAATGCTTCCATAAGGTACTGGGAAACAGAAAACAATAAATCAAAAAGATCATAAATCACGACTGAATAGGATTTATTCTACAGATGCAGGAATAGTTTAACATATGCATGTCAACATATAAAGAGAAACAAGGATTGAAACCATCATGAACTCACCATAAAAGGGATTAGAGAAATAATACATTTGACAATAACACCAACAAAAATTAAATACTTAGGAATGAACCTAATCAAGGAAGTGAAAGACCTCTATGTTACTACAATACTCTGAAAAAAGAGATCAGGGAAGATATTAGAAAATGGAAAGATACCCCATGTTCCTTGATAGGCAGAACCAATATAGTCAAAATAGTCAATTTCCAAAACTGATATTCAGATTTAATACAATCCCAATCAAAATTTTGATAGCATTCCTCATAGAACTAGAGAAAACAATCCTAAAAGTTGATATGGAACTAGAAGAGACCTGGAATAGCAAAAGCAATCAAGGCAAAAAGCACAAGGCAGGAATCACAATCTGAGATTTGACGTTACATTACAAAGCTGAAATTTAAAGAACTCAAAAGGAGGGGCTGGGGATTTAGCTCAGCGTCATAAGCGCCTGCCTTGTAAGCAGGTGGTCGTGAGTTAGATCCCTGGTACAGATTAAAAAAAAAAAAGAAGAACTCAAAAGGATTAGATCTCCCCACCAGATTTAATGACCCAATCAAAAAATGAGTTCTGAAGTTAATAGATACTTCTCAGGGGACAAAGTATAAATGATCAGTAAATACATGAAATAATATTCAACATTGCTGGCCATTCAAGAAATGCAAATTAAAACAACACTGGGATTACATCTCACTCTGGAAAAAAGTGACTACCTTTAAGAAATCAAACAACCACTCTTGGAGAAGCTGTGGGAAAAAAGGAACATTTCTTCATTGTTGGAATGTAAAGTGGTATAGCCACTATGGAGTTCAGTACAGAGATTCTTCAAAAATGTAAAATTAGAAATTTCATTTAACCCATCTATTCCCCTAAGTATTGTCTACATTGAGTTAAAGACATTATATTACAGCGATACAAGCCTTCCCAAGTTTATGGCAGCACAATTCATAATATCTTGGAAGCAGCCTATATATCCATCAATAGGTGAATGAAGAAATACAGTATTTATACACAATTATAGAAGTACTATTATTCTACCATGAAGGAAGATAAATTTGCATCATTTATAGGAAAATGAATATGTGTTGACGCTATAATGTTAAGTGAAGTTAGACTCACAATCTTATCTGTCACATGGTTTCTCTTACATGGGAACCCATAAAGTGAAAAATAAAGATACAAAATAGGCAACAGTGAGAGGCATGAAGGAGGGAGGGAAGGGGGAGGAAAGAGATAAAAACGGGGAAGTTGTGAAGTGTTGTGTACATGTACCATATCATTGTAGAGAATGTAATCATCATATATATCCCGAGACAGGCAGGGTGGAAGAGGGGAGGAGCAGCTTCAAAAACTCTGAATGTTATCATCATGTACTACAAACATGTACCAATTAATAAAAAGAATTTAGGATGTAAGTGGATTAGACATAGTGAAGTAATGTGAAAGCAGAGTATCTAGGAGAATGAGAAAGTACGTTAAAAATTATCAATTAATATGGGAGTGTATGAAGGAGGATATTAAATGATAGTGTATTAATTGAGTGTATGACTCATTTTTTCTCAGGGTTTTTTTGGAATTAAAATTTTCTATTCAATTATTTGACATTTGTATCAAATACTGATCTGAAGTCAGTAGACTTGGCTCCACTGAGTAGCCAGCAAGTTTTTGCCATTCCACAGCTATATGATATGAAAAGTTTGAATAATTACTCAGCTAAAATCTTTCCCACCATGTTTTGTGCATCTTACTAAACCTAAGAAAATTTCATCACTATTCATCTTTTTGTCTATAGAAATATTTACAACCAAAGTTAAAACGGGAGCTGGCTTTTCAAAAATTTTTAGAATATTTTAAATTCTCATTAAGGAAATGAGAGAAATCTAAAATGGTGCTTCATCAAAATGTTATTCAGGGCAACTAGAGAAAGAATGAAATTCATCTGTGTGTATCATTTACATTGTGTATAGTAATGGAATAAGAAATGGAAGACAGTTTCTGCAGAAATAAATTTTCATTTTCAGTTTTATTTGTTTTTCCCTAACCCTAGCACTGTATTTTCACAGTTTTAGTTGTTTACATCATGATATATTTTTGAGTTACATGTATATTAAGAACAGTGGTATAATTACATGAGGAGTTTAAATTTAAACACTGCCTATGTGATGTAGGGAAAAAAACTCAGCCTACTAAATGTCCAGTACAAGTTTGTTTTCTCTAAAATCAAAGAATGAATTTTAGAAACAATGGAGGTTAAGAGCAGAATATATTTATAAGAGAAAGAAGAACAGAGAGACCCAAGAGGTCTTGTGTAGCTTGCTAAGACTTTGTCTTTTCTAGGGACTTTTATAGAACAAAATCACAAAGTGAGGCAGGTCTTAGGTGGGGGAAAAATGGGAAATTGTAAGATAGGCATCCGGTGGGATGGAACTATGGCCAACTAAGATTATTAATATAATTTCTCAGGTAAAATGAATTAAATGGGGGCTGGGAAGTGAGTCACTTAGCAAATGGGCATGAATACAGAGCAGGGCCTTTGGTTGTAGGGGTTGGGGTAGTGACTCTTGGCTTCCTCAGAGTGATGAAGACCTATTTTGAATATCAATCCCTGATGTTTATCCTTCAGATGGGGTATATTTGTTTGATCTTTGTCTTGATATCTGGGCCACAGCAGAGATGTCTGTCTTCCCCCACAGTTGCATGGTATCTGGTCTTCTGCACTGGCTCCTTTGAGCTCCTAGCCCTATCTGGCTGCTTATATTTTTTTTTACTAATTCAGTTGCCTGTAACATTAAATCTTATAGTCTCATCAGTGAAGTGTGGATTAGTGGTTTAGGAGTTCTTTTTTAAAAAATGCTTTAGGGCCAGGGTATAGATCAGTGGCACAGTGGCTACCTGGCAAATGCAAGACCCTGAGTTTGATTCCTGGTACCACAGAACAAAACAAAAATGTTAAAATGCTTTAGATGGGATAAATGTATTTGGTTTTCTTTGTTTTTCATGAAGGATTTCTTAGAAACTAATGCTGTCAAACTTTATTACCTTTAATCAGTATTATTTATTTAATGTACCTAGTTCTCTTTTTTCCCAGAACTGAAGGCAGAAGCTAGTCTAATGGACCAGATGAGCAGTTGTGATAGCTCGTCAGATTCCACAAGTTCATCATCATCAAGTAGTGAAGATAGTTCTAGTGACTCAGATGATGAAGAGGGCAGATCTTCTACTCCAAGGAGTTGTGTCTCAGGACATCCTACCATGTCCGACATATCTCAGTACAGGATTTCTGATACAGCTACTGGTCATAATCGATTTCCTGACAACAGTGCCATTCTGATGAACACTTTACGTAAGTATACATAAACGTGAGTACTTAGAAAAGAATGCATGGGTAGTCATACTGTTTGTAATCCAAACTTCAGGTGAGGGGGCTGGGGATTTTGCTCAGTGGCTCAAGCGCTTGCCTGGTTAAGCACGAGGTCATGAGTTCAATCCCTGGTGCCCTGAAAAACAAACAAACAAAAACCTCATTTAAACTTCGGGTGAAAAGAATATTTTATAGTATCTAGAAAGACAACAGAAAAATCCAGAAGGCAGTTTGTCATAATCAAAAACTATGAACAATATACTAAAAAGATAATGTAAGTTCTATAACTCAACATACAAAAGAGTTACAAAGCAACAGATGATGACATACTTGTTTTCTTGACATCATAATGATTTTGACCATACTTTAAGTAAAACATTATACAACGTATTTTCATTTTATTTAATTTATTTATTTATTTATTGGTCTTTTTCGTTTTTATTGGTATCAGGGATCAAACTCGGGACTGCCTGCTTGCAAGGCAGGCGCTTATGCCGCTAAGCTAAATCCCCAGCCCCCACGACGTGTTTTCATTTTCCAAAATGATAGCCTGAGCCTGCTGGTATGGTGGCACTCAGAAGGCTGAGGCAAGAGGATCACTGCGAGTTCAAAGCCAGCCTAGACTATATATAGTGAGTTTAGTATCAGCCTAAACTGCATAGTGAGACCCTGTCTCAAAAACAAATAATAATAACAAAAGAGACAAGCCCAATCTTCTAATTCCCAATGTTCTCTCATTTCCTGATGTAATAAGTGAATAGTATATAAAGAAAGATGTTGTTGATATGTGAAAAAAACTTAAAATAAATGCTAGATGATACTAAAATTATCCTGAAGTTTGATAGTATATAGTTTTTCTTTCCAGATAGTATTGAGCTGCTAATTATGTAACAATTTACTGGATAAACAGTCTTATTATTAATTACAAAATGCTAGCTAGACAATCCCTTCATTATATGTTGTATACTTATTATAAAAATTTGTGTACTTTAATATTTGAAATATTTAATTACAGTTTTGATCTTTTTTTACTTCAGGTAATGATTTGCAGCTGAGTGACTCAGGAAGTGATAGTGATGACTGAAGACATATTTACCTATAAATATAACATTTACAAGATATATGTTTATTTTGTATTAAAATAAGAACTCCTAAAAGTGTGAATAATATGAAACTTTTGATAATAAAAGAAATTAAATCTGATTGAGACTTTTAAACTTTTATTGAGTTCGACTTACGAGATATTATCTTCATTTAATCTTAACAAAACTTTTATGACAGTGATAGACATTGTTAAGAAGAGAGCCAGAGATGGGCAGGTGGTTACAGCTCAGCGGCTTAAATGCCTGCCTGGCAAGCATGAGGTCATGAGTCTGAACTGTGGCACCAAAAAACAAAACAAAACAAAACAAACAAAGAAAAAGAGCCAGACTGTCAGAGTCAGTGACTTGCCTCAGGCATCGTTAGTAAACAAGTGGTAGATCAGGTGGCCTAGAACCTAAACTCAGTGCTCTGTCTTACCACACAGCTGTTTCCAGCTGTGAAACATCAAAACTATTCATTTATAATAAATGTCCATCATTTTAGTTGTATCCCTGAGCCTTTTCTAGCTGATGTTCTTTAAATCATGATTGAAAATATTTTAACTCCTGACAAGCTATAATTTAGGAGAAAGTTAAGTAATTATATTATAGGCAGCTAAATTAGATAAAAATATTACATGCAATCAGATAGGGCTAGGCCAGTGCAGAAGACCAGATACCTTGCAACTATGGGAGAGACAGACACCTCCTGCTGAGGGCCAGACAAAAGATAAAACAAATGCATCCACATACTTTCTAAGGATAAACATTGGGGACTGATACTCTAAATAGGTATCACTACCCTGAGAAGCCAGAAGGAGCCACTAACCCAATCTCCCACCCCTCATTCTGTATTCCTGCCTCTTGTTATGTGACTCCCTTTCCCATTTGATCACGATTTAATCAGTTTCACCCTCAATCTTATTGGTTGGCCATAGTTTTGCACTACCTAGTGCCCGCTTTGCAATTTCCCATTTTTCTGCACCTTAGACCTGCCTCACCTTGTGGTTTTGTACTATAAAATCCCTAGAAAATGCAGGGGTTTTGGTAACCCACAAGACCCCTTTCTCAGACAGCTTTCTTTCTCTTAAATATATTTTGTTGTTAACCTCCAATGTTCCTAAAATTCATTCTTTGAGTTTAGAGAGCATGACCTCACACCAGACATCTAGCAGGTTGGGAGTTTCTTTCCCCTATATCAATTATTTCAGTGAAGCAATTTGTTTTGTTATCATTTTCTTTAGCTTTCCAGAAAAACACAGCTAAGTGTTCAGATAATTAATATTTATAATATCTTCAAATTTGGAAGAAATGATAAATATTTAATCATAATTGGATGCCAAAACCTACAATTTCTTTTTAAACGTTTTGGAACAGTTTTAGGTTCACAACATAAATGCTCAGAAAGTTTAAAGTGTTTCTATGTCCTCCGACCCCACCATGAGGGCCTCACACCAGAATAGCTGTATATTTGTTATAATTGATGAGCCTGGATTATCATTATCTGAAGTTCATAGTTGATATCAGAACTCGCTCTTGATGTTGCACGTACTATGATTTTTGACAAATATGTGTAGGAGTGACATGTACCTACGATTATAGTAGCGTCAGAATAGTTTCACCACCCTAGAAATCTGTGATCTGCCTATTCATTTCTCTTTTCTTTTTATCCTCTGCTATTACTTATGTATTTCTATGATTTTGCCTTTTCCTGAATGTCAAGTAAACTAAAATCATTTAATATATTAGTCAGCTTTCCTGTTGCTGGGTTGACATAACTTGATACCTACAACTTAAAGAAGGAGATGGTGGGGCTGGGGATTTAGTTCAGTGGCATAAGCGTCTGCCTTGCAAGTGCGTGATCGTGAGTTCGATCCTGGGTACCGATTAAAAAGAAAAAAAGAAAGATAGTTTAATTTGGCTTTCAGTTTCAGAAGTTTCATTTAAGTACATGATTGGCTGAGTCTAAGGCAGAAATGTCATGACAGAAGGCAGGGTGAAGTTTCTCATTCCATGGCAGCTGGGAAGCAGAGCACAAGCGAAGAGCTGCCGTGAGAGAAAGACCCCCCAAAGGCACATCCCCAGTGAGCCCACCTTCCAAAAGCACAGTCAGCTGTGCACATCACTGACCTAAATCCACTAATGAGTTTAACCCCCTATGATCCAGTCATCTCTCCAGGAGCCAATGAATCCAGTCAAATTGATAATGAATAATAAATGGCAAGGCTGGTCCGATGGCAGTGGGTTATCAGAACTTATTAACATTAGCATCACTAAAGTTACCACCCCCCCACTGCTAAATCTGACTGGCTTTAAAAAAAATAAATAATAATAATACTAATAATAAATGGCACATATAACATAGAGCCTTTTCAGATTGGCCTCATTAACTTACTGTGTACTATCCATTTCCTCCGTGTCTTTCATGGCTTGCTAACCCGTATTTTTCAGGCTAACTAATGTTCCACACCTGGATCTATCACTCACCTGCAAAACCTTGTTTGCTTCAAGTTTTGGAAATTATGGAAAACATTTTTAGTTTACTTCCCCCCAACCCTGTTCCTGCACCCTTCGTTTACTTCTTGCACTGAAATTTCTGTAGTTTGCTTTTTGAAGGTTTTATATGGATTTTGGCTTTATTCTCTGCTACTTTCTCTTCTTTTTTCTCCAGCCTACCTTCTGTTCATCTCTCTTCATTTTTGTTCTACTCATCAGTACTTAGCTAAGACCTACAACTATGTCATTCATTATTTAACAAAATCAAACTCATACATTGAGTAGCTAGTGAAACACGCTGATTATTTTTATATAATACAATTATAGTGGTTTTGACTGAAAGTTGTACTGGGATTTCTTTTATTAGAGTTAACTCTACAAGAAATGAGAACATGATGGGTTGGAATGCTGGCTATAAAAAATACATTATATTCTCAAAGTTCTTGCTATGCAAACTGCTCAGATATCCTCCTTGTTCTTTCCTCTGTAAATTACACATTTCTAAAGACTTTTTAATGGATTCATCATTATCTTTTTTTTCATTTTTACTACATCATCATTTTCTATACCTCCCAAAGGTATATACAGTGTAATTCTCATGTTTTTGTATCTCATCTGATATGTTTTCAGATGTAGAGATTGAAAATTTAACCTCTCTACCCCCCAAAATGTACAGAACTTGTGCATTATAAAATTTCTCATATACAAGGTTCTCTGCCAAAAAAACTAAAACCAAAACAAAAAAATAGCTGATAATCCTAACATGATTCTAACCTCACCTGTTCTGAATGGTTTTATTAAACTCATAATGATACCTTAAGGATACAATCAGGAAAAGTAAGTTGATTACAAAGGAACAAAATTCAAAGGGCTTTGAACTATTCTAAAACTTTTAACGATAATGCTATATCTGTTGATGGATGAGTGTGATCTACAAATTATGTATTCGTAAAGTATCAGTCATAGTTTGGTAATATATGTCAGAGTTCAGCAATATATCACTTGATACTATTCCTATAATAATTATATTAGTAATTTCCAACTCATTAATAGATTAATTGGCCAGGTGTGGTGGTGCATGCCTATAATCCTAGCATTCAACAGGCCAAAGCAGGAAGATTGTTGTGAGTTTGAGGCCAGCCTGAGCTTCAAAGTGAGCTCAAAGCCAGCGTAAATTGCATAGTGAGACCCTGTATCAAAAAATTCAAAACAAAAACAAAAATCTAATAGATGAATTGAAAAGACTTAAGAATAAAAATATTTAAAATATAATTTCTTTTAAAAAAATTGTTAAGAGAATAAAACCAAACAAAACAAAACAGAATAAAGCCAATCAAAATAAAACAGTGAAACTAATGCAGGACTCCAAAATAAGATAATGGAAAATCAACAATGGCTACCATTATATATCTTGTTGCCTTTAAAATACCTTTCCTATACCATCAGATATAATAAAATCAAACAAAACAAAACAGTGAAAATGATACAGGACTTTAAAATAAGATCATAAGGAATTAATTAATGGCCACTACTTTCCATTTTTAGATGTTTCCTCCCTGTTCACTTTCACCATATCTATTGTATGTTTTGGATCCCACTAGCTCCTTCAGTTTTTTATACAAGGGATACAATATGATGTTCAAATTATTTCACCCAAAAGCATAATCACAAGTTGCATCCATTTACTTACAATAGTCTCGTGATTATCTTTCTTTATAGATGAATAGCTTTTCATTGTATAAAAATGTGATATCTTCCTTATCCATTCTGCAATTGATGGGCAAGCTACCCCTGCTTTTTTCTGCTTCTCTGTCACATGAAGCATTGTTTTCACTCCTTTGACTTTCAGTCTATGAATTTCCTTTTGATTCAGTGTGTTTCTTGTGTATCACATATTGATGTATCTTACTTCTTGATCTACTCTGCCTGTGTTTCTTCTAATTGGTGAATTGAGGCCATCTATATTAATGGTTATGGCCAAAATGCACTGGTTCATCTCCTCTATGCTTTTGTCCTACCTTGGCCCCCTACTTTTCTTCTCCATTCAATTGTCTGCCCTGCCTCGTAGTTTCTTTCTGTTGTTATTCTTGGACTTGTGATCATTTTTGTCTATCTAGAATATTTTTCAGTACACTCTGTAGTACTGTATTGGTGGTTACGAATCCAGTTGTTCTTTTTCATGGAAGTATCTTGTTTTTCCATTGATTTTTGAAAGATACTTTTTGAGAATACATCAGTCTGTTATATCGTTTAGAGCACTTTCTTTTCCTCTCTTTTGTACAATGACTATTACACATTTTGGGTTTTATTGCTTCCACAGTTCTTATTACTTTTTTTGAGAGAGAGTAAAATCAAATGTGACAGAACAGAGTTGGTCAAATCAAAAGGTGGATATAATAGATAATGTAAAAAACATAATACAAGGTGATCAACAATGGTTACCATAATGCTTCCCACTATCTCTAATAGAATTGCCTATATCATCAGTTATAATAAAATTGAACAAAACAGTAAAGAATGAAGCGAACAAAACCAAAACATGGGAAACATTACAGGTCTTCAAAAGTAGATAATAGTCAACCAGAATGGGCATCATAATGAATCCCACTATCTTCACAGCTGTTG